CCACAATCACACTGACCACCACTCTACTAACATACCACAGCCACACTGACCACCACTCTACCAACACGCCACAACCATACTGACTACCAATCCACAACCACATTGACCGCCACTCTACCAACACACCACAACCATACTAACTACCAATCCACGACCACACTGACCACCACTCTACCAACACCCCACAACCACACTGACTACCACTCTACCAACACACACACACCACAACCATACTGACTACAAATCCACAACCACACTGACCACCACTCTACTAACATACCACAGCCACACTGACCACCACTCTACCAACACGCCACAACCATACTGACTACCAATCCACAACCACACTGACCACCACTCTACCAACACACCAAAACCACGTTGACTACCAATCCACAACCACACTGACTACCACTCTACCAACACACCACAACCACACTGACTACCAATCCACAACCGCACTGACTACCACTCTACCAACACACACACACCCCAACCATACTGACTACCAATCCACAACCACACTGACCACCACTCAACCAACACACCATAACCACACTGACTACCAATCTACAACCACACTGACTACCACTCTACCAACACACACACACCCCAACCATACTGACTACCAATCCACAACCACACTGACCACCACTCTACCACCACCCCACAACCATACTGACTACCAATCCACAACCACACTGACCACCACTCTACCAACACACTACAACCACACTGACCACCACTCTACCAACCTACTACAACCATACTGACCACCACTTTGCCACTACCCTACCACATTCCACATAACCATCTACCAACACACCACAGCCATACTGACCACCACTCTACCAACACACCACAACCATACTGACTACCAATCCACAACCACAATGACCACCACTCTACCAACACACTTCAACCACACTGACTACCAATCCACAACCACATTGACCGCCACTCTACCAACACACCACAACCACACTGACCACCACTATACCAACACACCACAACCACACTGACCACCACTCTACCAACCCACCAAAACCACACTGACTACCAATCCACAACCACATTGACCGCCACTCTACCAACACACCACAACCACACTGACTACCACTCTACCAACACCCACACACCACACCCATACTGACTACCAATCCACAACCACACTGACCACCACTCAACCAACACACCATAACCACACTGACTACCAATCCACAACCACACTGCCTACCACTCTACCAACACACCAAAACCACACTGACTACCAGTCCACAACCACACTGACCACCACTCTACCAACACACACACACCACAACCATACTGACTCCCAATCCACAACCACACTGACCACCACTCTTCCAACACATCACAACCACAATGACCACCAATCCACCACTACACCACAACCACACTGACTACCAATCCACAACCACATTGACCGCCACTCTACCAACACACCACAACCACACTGACTACCACTCTACCAACACCCCAAAACCACACTGACTACCAATCCACAACCACATTGACCGCCACTCTACCAACACACCACAACCACACTGACTACCACTCTACCAACACCCACACACCACACCCATACTGACTACCAATCCACAACCACACTGACTACCACTCTACCAACACCCCAAAACCACACTGACTACCAATCCACAACCACATTGACCGCCACTCTACCAACACACCACAACCACACTGACCACCACTCTACTAACATACCACAGCAACCCTGACCACAACTCCACCACCATACTACAACCATACTGACCACAACTCTACCAACACACTACAACGATACTGAACACCACTCTACCAACACACCACAACCACAATGACCACCAATCCACCACCACACCACAACCACACTGACCCCCAATCCACAACCACACTGACCACCACTCTTCCAACACATCACAACCACAATGACCACTAATCCACCACTACACCACAACCACACTGACTACCAATCCACAACCACATTGACCGCCACTCTACCAACACACCACAACCACACTGACTACCACTCTACCAACACCCACACACCACAACCATACTGACTACCAATCCACACCCACACTGACCACCACTCTACCAACACACCACAACAACACTGACCACCACTCTACCAACACACCACAGCCATACTGACCACCACTCTACCAACACACCACAACCACCCTGACTACCAATCCACAACCACACTGACCACCACTCTTCCAACACATCACAACCACAATGACCACTAATCCACCACTACACCACAACCACACTGACTACCAATCCACAACCACATTGACCGCCACTCTACCAACACACCACAACCACACTGACTACCACTCTACCAACACCCCAAAACCACACTGACTACCAATCCACAACCACACTGACCACCACTCTACCAACACACTTCAACCATACTGTCCACCACTCTACCAACACACTACAACCACACTGACCACCACTCTACCAACCTACTACAACCATACTGACCACCACTTTACCACTACCCTACCACATTCCACATAACCATGCTAGGCACCATATTACCACTTTATACCACATGCTATACCAATGGTATACTATTGTGGAATGTGGTGGTAGTGAAGTGGTATAGTGATGGTGCAGTGTAGTCAGTATGCATATTCCTGCATATTCAGGGTTGCAGAGAGTGTAAGTGAGCGTAACTCCTGGAGTATCGAGGATGGTAGTAGTGTGGTAGTTTGGTAGTGAATCGTTTAGTGTGCGGTAGTGTAGTACTTTGGTAGTGAGTTGTTTTGTGTGTGGTACTTTGGTAGTGAGTTGTTTATTGTGTGATTGTGTAGTACTTTGGTAGTGAGTTGTTTAGTGTGTGATTGTGTAGTGCTTTGGTAGTGAGTTGTTTAGTGTGTGATTGTGTAGTGCTTTGGTAGTGAGTTGTTTAGTGTGTGATTGTGTTGTACTTTGGTAGTGAGTTGTTTAGTGTGTGATTGTGTAGTGCTTTGGTAGTGAGTTGTTTAGTGTGTGATTGTGTGGTACTTTGGTAGTGAGTTGTTTATTGTGTGGTACTATGGTAGTTTGGTAGTGAGTTGTTTAGTGTGTGATTGTGTAGTACTTTGGTAGTGAGTTGTTTAGTGTGTGATTGTGTGGTACTTTGGTTGTGAATTGTTTATTGTGTGAATGTGTGGTACTTTGGTAGTAAGTTGTTTAGTGTGTGAATGTGTGGTACTTTGGTTGTGAGTTGTTTATTGTGTGAAGGTGTGGTACTTTGGTAGTGAGTTGTTTAGTGTGTGATTGTGTGGTACTTTGGTAGTGAGTTGTTTAGTGTGTGATTGTGTGGGACTTTGGTAGTGAGTTGTTTAGTGTGTAGTACTATGGTAGTGAGTTGTTTAGTGTGCGGTACTATGGTACTTTGGTAGTGAGTTGTTTAGTGTGTGATTGTGTGGTACTTTGGTAGGGAGTTGTTTAGTGTGTGATTGTGTGGTACTTTGGGAGTGAGTTGTTTAGTGTGTGATTGTGTGGTACTTTCGTAGTGAGTTGTTTATTGTGTGATTGTGTGGTACTTTGGTAGTGAGTTGTTAGTGTGTAGTACTTTGGTAGTGAGTTGTTTAGTGTGTGATTGTGTGGGACTTTGGTAGTGAGTTGTTTAGTGTGTAGTACTTTGGTAGTGAGTTGTTTATTGTGTGATTGTGTGGTACTATGGTAGTGAGTTGTTTAGTGTGCAGTACTATGGTAGTGAGTTGTTTAGTGTGTGATTGTGTGGTACTTTGGTAGTGAGTTGTTCATTGTGTGGTTGTGTGGTACTTTGGTAGTGAGTTTTTTTTATTGCGCGGTAGTGTGGTACTTTGTTGTTAGTTGTTTAGTGTATGATAGCCAAGGAAAGGTCAATGTTATTTAACAGGTTTGTGAGGGGGATTATAAACGGTAGATTATCTGTTAGTATATTATAATCGGTTATGTATAGCGTTAATGACATGATCTATATATCTGTATTGACAAAAGTAAGCGAGGTAAACATGTCACACAATGGCCCCATCCTGACTTTACCTGGCTTTTGTCCCATGTTTGTACTGTATTATCAGCTACAAATAGACAATCTACCTGTGTTCACTTTCACTCACGTTAAATCACTCGATCTTTTGATCTCCAGGTGTCCGTCTGATGATTTAAATGTCCACTGAGATAGGGCTATTAATGGAATTTTAGTTTATTCATAAAACAACATCTGTGTTCAACTCAAGTGAATTTTCATTTTCAAACACATTTCCTTTGGTTGCCACCTTGTTGTCTCCTGTTTTGATAATTTGTAGATTGAATATGATATATAAGTTGTTAAGATATTAATGAATGCCAGGTAAGTTACTTACAAACAACAAAACAGGATCAACATGTGGTAGATGTTGGCAATAGGCAAACCTGTGTAGACAATACAATGCATAAAACATGTTTTTCACAGCAGCTAATCATATGAAATGTCGACTTTCAAAGGCATGTCATTTAAAAAATAAAGTGCCATCAGCATGCATGATATTTTAACCTAATAGCTAGTTTATCCTGATGGTAAATGTTTCTTTATGTTATCCAAGGGACTTTTACTGTGTCATTAACATCACTTGGTAATTAAGAGGACTTCTTTGAAGTCTCATATACATACATACATCACGACTGCCATAAAGACTACCAATTAATAAGTAAGAAAGCAAGAAACAGTCTTCAGGTGGTCTGTATAGAAAGGCAGTCTTTATTCACATGTGTTTTTTTTGATAGAAGACACCATTTGAGGATTCTTTAGATAGTATGTTTTGCAACTTATTTCTTAATTATACACATAATGGTCCTGTGGACATATGTGTAAACAGGTGGATTTTACAGGCAATCAGTCTTTATAGACAGGTGGTATTTATTTATAGATAGGTAGTCTTTATAGACAGGTGGTATTTATTTATAGATAGGTAGTCTTTATAGACAGGTGGTATTTATTTCCTTTTGATATTTTTCAGTGCAATAATCTGAAGTTGCTGTGGTGACCATGACGAGTGATGTAGCACGCGACAAGGCGGCCCGTCTGCTAAAGAAGCAGGGGTCGATGTCTTCCCTGGCCAGCAGTGATGTTCACCGAGGAAAGAACTTGGGGTAGGTCCATCTGACCCTCTGTGAGATACACCCAACCCCCGGGGAAAGTCTTTATATGTTAGAGTAGCAGCAAACTCCTCATGTTTTAGACTAGAGTCCTGCAATATGTCTACATCTGATTTTTCTTGAGAGAAAATTTTCCAGATACATAGGTAGTTTGTCTTGTGTTGCAGTATCTGGTTTTGATATTTGACCTGAATAGAAATGTGGGTTGTTGAACATTATACCCACAATTTCAGACAATTCTTTCAGTTTTGAAAGATAGGATTCAGTTTCTTGCATTCATGTTAATTATCTGTGGCCAATAGACTGGCAATAGTGTAGAAAGAAAGCATATTGAATATTTGTTTTTCCTTAGACATCAGATGTTAGCAGAAGTGAAGATGTGAAGTGTTTTTCATTACAGAAGAGTGTCACTGTTAAAGACTATATAACCGTCACACTGATCGTCCTCCTCCACTGTTTCATGTATCACCTAATTAACATACATGGTGTATCTTTTAAGTGATTGTTCTTATTTGATTTAAGCAGCTTTATATATTTCTTTTCACTGTTTGCTAAAAATATACACGGAGGAAAATAAGGGCAAATTTAAGAAAAAAATAAATACAAAAAAGATCCAATAAAGGTTAAAAAAAGTCTTTTAGACAAGATAAAATGTGAAAGACCCACCATGAGGTACCAAAATTTCAATCGTCCATCTACTAAATGTTAAATGTGTTGACTTATTTTCCCAGTAACAAACCTTAATTACTGTCTTCTTGTTTCAATGTTTTACATGAAAGCACAATATAAACCAGGTGTAGGAATGAATCGCTATTGTTTTGTACCACTGATATCATTGATGTGCTCATCCAATCACGCACCATGACTTGTATAGCAATCGGTGTAAGCTTGTTTGTTGTTGGTTTGTGTGTATAAATTGGAAGTGAATTTTCTTTGCAGTCTACCTGTAGAAAAAAGTATAGACAAAAGTCTACCTGGAGAATGGTAATTGCTGGTATTGTGTTACTGCATGCTTGTGTTAACTGGAGTCATTGTTTGCTTGGTTTGAATTTTAACCTGCCAGTCTTAGTGACGTGATGCACTCAAAAGACATTTATGTAATTACAAAATGGCATCTATGCGTTAATGTTTAGTTAAACCATGCTAGTTTTGATTTACAGGAAAAGAAACCTGATGCGATTAAGTAAATCAACATGTTACAGTAAGGAATGGTGGGATTGTGAAGTTTTGTCATGTGATGAGATTGCCTAGGTAGTCACACACAGGATGGGATTGTGAAGTTTTGTCATGTGATGAGATTGCCTAGTTAGTCACACACAGGGTGGGATTGTAGTTAGCTACATATGGGATGACTGGGATTGTATAGTTGGTCACACAAATCACACAAACATTGGGAGGAGTGGGATTGTATAGTCAGTCACATATTGTAGGAGTGGTGGGATTGTATTGTCACATGGGAAGAATAGTGGGAATGTGTAGTTATAGTCACATATAACAGAGTAGTGGGTTTGTGGTCACAGGCCTAGGGTAGTGGGAATGTGTAGTCACACACAGGAGGATCAGTGAGATTGTGCATAGTTATAGTCACATGTGGGAGAGTGGTGGGCTTGTTTAGCCAGTCCTATAAGTTATAGTAGTGGGCTTGTGTAGTCCTAGTGTCACACACTCTAGGGATGATGGTAGTGTGTAGGTTTGAAGGTGCATCATGTCACATGTAGGCAGAGTGGAATTGTATTAAAATTATGCTGCATGTTTTTGTGATTTTGACATTTACGATTTTAGTCAGATAATACTGATTTATAGGTACTTAACAGAAAGAGTTTCTTAATTGACCAATTTACTGAATATTTACCGTACAGTGAGACAGAGAGTCGGCAAAATTATACAGTACAGTTACTTTATGTACTAATGTAAAATGCAATCATTAGATTAATTGGTGAGTGGAATTTGTATATGAAATCTAACAAGTACATATGCGTATATGTATATATTTACATAAGTAAAACATGATTTCACGATCTATGGTCCTATAACACTGTTTTTCAGGTAATTGTACCAGTATTGTACCAGTATACCTTCAGTATATTCAGGTAGTAGGGTGTACATAATATTGTATCACAACTAGTAACACTGCAATCGATACGACAGACCAAACCTTTCCGTGACATTGATCTTTCGTTGTACATGTATGCACGTATGGATTAGATTTCCTGTGATCAAAGGGGACATACACACTGGGCTGTACTTCAAATTTCACTTCAAATAACATTAATCAATAAAACGTTATAAAGCACAAATAAGTCAGTTGTAAAATATACTCATTCTCCTAACTTGTTTTTCCTGCTGTTGAATATCTTTCAAAGCTTTTAAAGTTTCTCGATTATCTTAAAGAATAATTTTGTACTTGATTGTTGACTTCACTAAATGTTTTTTGATTACATCCTTTTCAGGATCAAAATTTTCAGAAACTCAAGCAAAGTCTTTGACTAACATACATTTTATTTCTCATGTAATGTTTGTAAAAAAATATTTCATTTTTTAATCACATCTTATATTGTGTTTTACTCTTTCAAATTTGACTGTTCTGTCGATCTATGTATGTTAATATTTGTATGATGCAACTTAAAATATCTACCATATTTTTCTACCTAAAAAAACACCCTGGACACTTAGAATTAGGAAAAATTATTATGATCTAAGTACCTTCCAATACTTCAAAAATAACCATTATCACTAATCTTTCCTAGTAATTTGTAAATTATAGTGAAGAGATGGAATCTTTGACTGGAAAAAGGATCGGGGGTGGGGGGAGTGGGGGGTGGGGGGATTGGGGAGTGAGTGCTGTTTAGGTTGAATACATTATTCATATATTGCTGTCAAACTGCTATTGTAGATAAATAAGTAAATGTAGTGAATTCTGATTCCACGAACAAGGTGTACCTGTGTATTTGATCTGACATTTAAAGGTTTGAAGGATAAATATATATTTGATTGCATGTAATACACTTACCAGTATATATGTCTGGTATACAGTTGCAACTGTTACAGACAAATTACAATATACGTACATCAAAGCTCAAGCTTCAGAATTACAATGGATGTACATCAAAGCTCAAGCTTCTGAATTACAATGTATGTACATCAAAGTTCAAGCTTCAGAATTACAATGTATATACACCAAAGCTCAAGCTTCAGAATTACAATGTATGGACATCAAAGCTCAAGCTTCAGAACTACAATGTATGTACATCAAAGCTAAAGCTTCAGAATTACAATGTATATACATCAAAGCTCAAGCTTCAGAATTACGATATATGTACATCAAAGCTCAAGCTTCACAATTACAATGTATGTTCATCAAAGCTCAAGCTTCAGAATTACAATACATGTACATCAAAGCTCAAGCTTCTGAATTACAATGTATGTACATCAAACCTCAAGCTTCAGAAATACAATGTATGTACATCAAAGCTAAAGCTTCAGAATTACAATGTATATACATCAAAGCTCAAGCTTCAGAAATACAATGTATGTACATCCAAGCTCAAGCTTCAGAATTACAAGATATGTACATCAAAGCTCAAGCTTCTGAATTACAATGTATGTACATCAAACCTCAAGCTTCAGAAATACAATGTATGTACATCAAAGCTAAAGCTTCAGAATTACAATGTATATACATCAAAGCTCAAGCTTCAGAACTACAATGTATGTACATCAAAGCTAAAGCTTCAGAATTACAATGTATATACATCAAAGCTCAAGCTTCAGAAATACAATGTATGTACATCAAAGCTCAAGCTTCAGAATTACAATGTATATACATCAAAGCTCAAGCTTCAGAATTACAATATACAAGGATATTTATCTTGACCAACCGGAAAGTAAACATCAGAGATCATAATAGAGCTAGATGTTTATGCTGCCCAGCAATGCATGTGACACCAGAGTATGGGTGAATCATTTTATGACTTTTTTACACTATTATACGTAACAAAGATTATCTGATAATAATAAGATTTGATTGACCTCAATGCATTGGTTAAGAGTCAATGTAGCAGCTAGGATACACAAGTATTTTCTTATCATTGTAATAGGCACATATTTAAAATGTGATCAAATTTATTTCCCATTTGATAAAATTTAAGATGAAACAATTGCTTCTACTTTATTGATGTGTTTTTTTGTCCTGCTCTGAGATATAAAATATGTATGGATTTTTGATGGATATTTTCTTATTGACATCAATCATCATTTTTAAATTTCTATAAAGTATGTGAATAATTCTAACAATGCTAATATCTGTGTTAATAGACTAGTGAGTCTGTCCTTGTGTTGGGGTGAGAGTTATAAATGTGTTGTCAGATATGGAAATACTTTTAAGAAAAAAAGTGCAATAAAAATCAATTCTTTTCCTCAAAGAATTCTGGTGTTAATACATTTGTAATGATAAGTTGTTATCTTGAACTTGTTTGAACTGTGTCACATCAATAGAGAGTAGTGGAAAAACTTAAGTTAAAAATAAGTTTTAATTGAAAACTTTGAATTCCAGGTCTCGAGGCTGGACTGATAACTGGTAATGATTTTGCCCATATTTGGGCATCCATCTGTTACCTTGATTTCTGTGTCCTTATAGGGGGCATCCGTCTGTTACCTTGACTTTTTCGTCCTTATATGGGCATCTGTCTGTTATCTGTCTTTAAACAGATGCATGCTACCTGTCATTACCTTGCTCTTGTTTGGACTTCCTTGTCATTAAATCTGACCAACTTGCCATTTCTCTCTGTATTACCCCGATATTGCTACGATTGTCCTCTTTCTCCACCAAATGTCTATTCGCATTCTCCACCAAATGTCTATTCCCAATACCCTTGCAAATCCCAGTGATTTAGTATATCTTTTCTCCTTTCGGAGTGTCTGACTTTTATCGTAGGCAGGTCATGCCTCAGTGTCAGTTCATGCTTGAATGTTTGTGTGGTACTTGATTATTTCACCTTTTTAATGCCTATAAAATGTATATACTATTGATATGTGCTGTAATTGTCTGACATTCATTAAAACAAAGAAGATTTACAGATTACCTGTTCTGTATTCAGTAACATATGTCTTACATCAAGGTCTATGACTAGTTACATGTTTCTGGTACACCTATCACAAACTGGTATTTAAGTTTTCATCAACTTGTTATGCAAGAAGCCAGCTTTTAAATCCAATAGTTTTACTTCAAAAGACTGTATAACTCTACCTGACACAAAATACCAGATAGCTGGTGTGATGATGTGCCCTCAGCTTTTCTTTGAATTATATCTTCAGAAATGTGGATCAAGGAGAGGATATTTGTTGTGTAATTTGCAAGATGTAAATTAAGGGTTATCAGATTGTTTAAATGATTGACCATGATCATGATCATAGCCTGTTTTCAGGGTAATATATATGATAATTTTAAGGACAGCGAGAGCAGAAAGAGTTTATCATTATGTTAAAGATGAACAAGACAGGCCCTATGGGCTGCATGTTCCAGGAAGTGGACAGTAGAGGTCACATTTCTTATTATGTCACAGTTACCAGACAGTAGAGGTCACATGTCTTGTTATGTGATTTACCAGACAGTAGAGGTCACTTGTCTTGTTATATCACAGTTACCAGACAGTAGAGGTCATATGTCTTATTATGTCATAGTTACCAGACAGTAGAGGTCACATGTCTTGTTATGTGAGTTACCCGACAGTAGAGGGCACATATCTTGTTATGTCACAGTTACCAGACAGTAGAGGGCACATGTCTTGTTATGTCACAGTTACCTGACAGGAGAGGTCACATGCCTTGTTATGTCATAGTTACCAGACAGTAGAGGTCATATGTCTTATTATGTCATAGTTACCAGACAGTAGAGGTCACATGTCTTGTTTTGTCACAGTTACCAGACAGTATAGGTCACATGTCTTGTTATGTCACAGTTACCAGACAGAAGAGGTCACATGTCTTGTTATGTCACAGTTACCAGACAGAAGAGGTCACATGTCTTGTTATGTCACAGTTACCTGACAGTAGCGGTCACATGCCTTGTTATGTCATAGTTACCAGACAGTAGAGGTCATATGTCTTATTATGTCATAGTTACCATACAGTAGAGGTCACATGTCTTGTTATGTCTCATTTACCAGACAGTAGAGGTCACATGTCTTGTTATGTGATTTACCAGACAGTAGAGGTCACATGTCTTGTTATTTCACAGTTACCAGACAGTAGAGGTCACATGTCTATAGACAGTAGAGGTCATATGTCTTATTATGTCATAGTTACCATACAGTAGAGGTCACATGTCTTGTTATGTCTCATTTACCAGACAGTAGAGGTCACATGTCTTGTTATTTCACAGTTACCAGACAGTATAGGTCACATGTCTTGTTATGTCCCAGTTACCAGACAGTAGAGGTCACATGTCTTATTATGTCATATTTACCAGACAGTAGAGGTCACATGTCTTGTTATTTCACAGTTACCAGACAGTATAGGTCACATGTCTTGTTATCTGAGTTACCAGACAGTAGAGGTCACATGTCTTGTTTTGTCACAGTTACCAGACAGTATAGGTCACATGTCTTGTTATGTCCCAGTTACCAGACAGTAGAGGTCACATGTCTTGTTATGTGAGTTATATATAAATTACCAGACAGCAGAGGTCACATGTCTTGTTATGTCACAGTTACCTGACAGGAGAGGTCACATGCCTTGTTATGTCATAGTTACCAGACAGTAGAGGTCATATGTCTTATTATGTCATAGTTACCAGACAGTAGAGGTCACATGCCTTGTTATGTGAGTTACCAGACAGTAGAGGTCACATATCTTGTTATGTCACAGTAACCAGACAGTAGAGGTCACATGTCTTGTTATGTGAGATACCAGACAGTAGAGGTCACATGTCTTGTTATGTGAGTTATATATAAATTACCAGACAGCAGAGGTCACATGTCTTGTTATGTCACAGTTACCTGACAGGAGAGGTCACATGCCTTGTTATGTCATAGTTACCAGACAGTAGAGGTCACATGTCTTGTTTTGTCACAGTTACCAGACAGTAGAGGTCACATGTCTATTTATGTCACAGTTACCAGACAGTAGATGTCACATGTCTTGTTATGTCACAGTTACCAGACAGTAGAGGTCACATGTCTTGTTATGTCACAGTTACCTGACAGTAGAGGTCACATGCCTTGTTATGTCATAGTTACCAGACAGTAGAGGTCATATGTCTTAGATTGTTTTTAATGGAACACCATAGTTAAAGGACCAGAGTAGTTCATGTAGAGAAATTGAAATAAATACCCTTAAAACAAATTGCTTTACACTGTTACACCTGTCAGATGCCAGGTATACAAGGCTATTTTGTTCACAAAACAAAAGATTTAGTATCCAAATACAAAATGTACTAATAATGTGAAAAGGAAAACGGCAGCTTTGGTTTAGACGATTGCTCTTAAATTGTCAGCAAAACTGTTTTTATCCTTCACAAACATGTTTGGAAAAAACCTGTAAAACCCTGTTTCCACTTCAGTGCTCTTGATCTGTGAAGATATTTGTAACAGGAGCGTGATTGAAAAAACCTGTCACAATTTACTGTTGCTTTTTAAAGGAGTGACTTGTATGTACAATATACTATTTATTGCTCTCTCTCTTTATATATTCATCGCTGAACAGTAGGAGCCATTGTTTAGAAGAATGTTGGTGAATTTATGTTTTAGGACTGAATGGTTTGTAGGTTTACACACTTTTAAAAATTCACAAGGAGAACTATAGCCAAGTTACTTTCACAACAATTAACAGTAGGCGAGAACAGTATAGGGCATAACACTGTATAAGTCTAGTGGTGTACATTATACTTGGTGTGTAGCATGAAAACAGCTCCTGTTTAAGCGATCAGGATCACTCAATCACAGATAAACACATACTCTTTTGCTAAGAACTAAGTTTGATTTAAAACACCCCCGAAACCTTGTAACGTCCAATGGATAATTGACTGGGTCATATTGTTAGATCTCCCGAAGGGCTTAGCTTCTCCAACCCTGGTCAGCTTATAACTTCTACTGAAAGCAAAATTTTGATTTAGGATATTTTCAAAAAGATTGAAATTGAGTTCTAAAATTATATGTATATGGATTAAAAAATAAATATCATCTGAAGAAAAAACACAAAAAATGGTAAATTTAAGGTTACCAGGTATTTCTCAAATAAGGCATTTTGAAAATAATAAAGTTTTAAGCAACCAGACTAAGGGATACTTGAATAGGCTGAAGTATGGACTAGCTATGCTATATTTTTTTGTACGTACGTACTAGCTGATGTATCAGTGGATCTGGGTTCCCGCCACGTTAAATCCTATCACTTTTGTTGATTATCAGTACAATGCAAGGTGTTTTTCTTATTGAGTCCAGTGTTTGGTTGCTTTTGTATTCTGCAGATTTACTCAGCTCAAGTTCCCCCGCAGAGTGTTTTAAGAACTGTGTTCATGATGTCAGTGTAATTTATATGCTTTAACTACAGATGTGTCCTTTATGATATATACAGTTTAACCTTGTTATACTGCTGTCATTTGTCTAGACTACAGATGTGTCCTTTATGATATATACAGTTTAACCTTGTTATACTGCTGTCATTTGTCTAGAAAAAAATGTTGATATAAAGGGGATTGGTGATAAATTGAGGGAAATGTATAAAGGAATGCTTAACACACAAATGGGCCATGAAATATATGTGCAGTAAGTGAGGTGGCAAACGAAAGGAGGGACATGATATTGAGGTTTGACTAAAATACAGTGTATTTTGTTTGTTCATTAAAGGCATAATGGTAAACAGAATTTACAATGTTCAGTCAGTTACTCAGTTCTCAGAAAATACACATAAACAGGACAAGAATTTTTGGGACAAATATAAGGTTATAGATACTCCATGTTCCTGATGGCTGGTATTGGTTCAGCTGTATTCTCTATTATGAATCGTTGAAGCCTTGGTGAAATTTTGCCTTCCTGAAATTGAAGTACCTAAATAAATGATTTCATAAGGCTTGTGGTAATTCACGTGTAGTGTGTGGGTCTTTTGAAATTATCCTCATTAGTTCCACTGGAGGGGGAGTATAGCTATAGGTTTGCATTCTGTTGGTCAGTCAGTCCATCAGTTACTTAAAGTGCATGATTATGTCACTTTGTACAGGACATAGAACATATATTTCCACCTACAATGGCCAGATATTGTATGCGAGTACCTCTTGGGATGCTGGAGTGTTGCTATGTTGTACTATTTATGGAGTTATGGCCCTTTGTTCATTTTCATACAGACGTCTATATGACTCCTGTTATACAAACTTAAAGTTACTTTACATAAACTTAATATACTTGTAATACACAAGATGTACTCTTTGAAGACAATTATTTGAATCCATTCCAAAGGACAGACAGGGATTTTGAAATATGAAATTTTCCCTGTTGAGTATTTCTTTTCATGACAACAGTATACTATCTATCTTCTAAATTGGATATAAGAAGGAGTACTCAGAATCCTTTCATATTACATATTAAC